AAAGAGAGAGGAAAAGAAAAGAGAGGAGAGGGAGAGAAAGAGAGAGAGAGAGAGAGAGAGAGAGAGAGAGAGAGAGAGTTAGAAAAAACAGAGGGCGAAAAAACAGAGGGCGAAAAAAGAGAGAAAATGAAGGTAAATCTGTTCTCCGAATGGTGGTGGAAAGAGAGAAGGAAGAATAAGGTAAAAAATTATTGGAAGAGATTGAGAGTTTCTGCAATATCGAATAAGGAAGAAAACTATGAGAGAAAATAGAATTTTAAGCTTAAATATGACACCAAGTAAAGCTTCATTCTGCAAGAATTTCCTTTTTGAAGAAGTCACAGAAAAAAAAAGATTGAAATGATCTAAAGTCTTACTATGTCGTTGTTGTCTGAGGCTCATTGTCAGTCTTTCACAGAGATGATGTGAGAAAACGAGATTCAGCTGTTTAGGTTAGCTAGACTTGAAAAACAATAATGCTTTTCCTTTTTGTCCACATTTGCTTCATTTACTCCAATCTCTCCCTCCTCCCACTCTTTCTCTTAAAAATAAATATTTTCACAGAAAAGAGAGAGAGAGAAAGAAATCTGCATGATACCGTTATGACAAACCAATTATAGTTATTCTCGTTGAACGTCTATTAGACATCCAACTTCTTTTTTTTTGTCTTCTTCTCTCCTCGTCAATTACAAATTATATTTATGATATATAATATTATTTTTGGTTTCAGACAGTTATAGAGAACTCGACAATCTTGAAGAAACAGGAGATTGAGAACCAATTGAAAACAGTTATCCACCCCCTCTCCATTCTCTCTCTCTTTCTCAATTTTTCTATTTCAGTGTATCTATGTTAGTTGGCCGAAAACCTTTTGAAGATTTTCAAAACTTCATATATATATTTTCAAGATATTCTAAGCAAAAGTACGAATTGACGAATTTTGAATGAAATTTTTTTATTCCAAAGTCGATCACGTTCTTAAATCGTTTTAACTTTTATATGAACAATGGACAGAAACTTTCAAATATATATGTTTTCCACACCATTTCTCCTTGTAAAAAGAAAAAGAAAGATGAAAATTTATAAAATAATTCAATCAGAGGATAACTTTTCATTCCTCTGATTCTTCCAATGCTCTCAGTTGGTGTGTTCGAAGGTTTGTGCAAAGTGATGGAATGCAGCAAGATTGCAGACAAAATAAGGATTTGAGCGTAAAAATCATTTATATTCACAAAAAATTGTTTATCATTTTCTGTTTTCTTTTTGACAAAGAACTTTTAAAACTAAATCTCTCCAGGGAAAGTACTCATATTGGTCAAGTTTTCAACTTTTCCATCCGATAGAAGCATCTTTGAGAGTGGAGGAGGATAAAGACAAATGGAATACAAAGAGAATGAGTAAATCAGAGAACATCAAATGAGGGTGGGAGGAAAAGATGTTTCAGTTATAGGTAAGCATGAAAGTTCGACAAGAAAAGTTGATTAACAGAAAGGGAGGGATGGTGGAAATAGAAAAAGGTAAGAAGAGAACCCTGTTGTTGACATTTCTTAGCCAATTTTCTTTAGAATTAATAGAATTTATAATCATTCAGTGGGAAGAGGATTAAATGAAGCTTTTATCATTTGTGTTGTTATGAATTTTTATTAAGAACCAAATAAAGATAATACTCAAGCAGAGGTATTGCAATAGTTGGAAATATTTAGAAATTAAATAAAAAACAAGAAGTATGAATAGAGATAATGAATATAAAAATGAGGAAATGTGAGGAAAACACAGCTGGAATGGTTAGAGAATGAGTATCTGATGATGAAGAAATAATACATTAGTTAGAGTGTATGGGTGATACCTAAAACAGAGAGGAAGTGAGATGAGCAGAAAAGGGGGGGGGGAGAGAGAGAGAGAAAGAGAAGCTCCGAATGAGTGCGAAGATGGAAAATAGGAAAAACAAAAAAATAACCATTATACAAACCACAAACTCCCAGAAATATTGCCATGTTTGAAAATTAAGAGAGATGAAGCGAGAACGAAGAGACAACGGAGGATTCAAGTGAAAATGACTAAACAAGGAGGATAGTGGCTATATATGAATGTAATAACGGGAAAAATATTAGTAAATCTGCTCAAACTGCTTTGTTAGCTAAATTGTGAGCAAAAAAAACTTCAGTTTGAAGATGATGATCCAAACTGACATCATGCTTCATTGAATCAAATTGATGTTTGATAGATCAGGGACTGGCTTAGTCAATTTCTCTATCTCTCTCTGAAAGGTTCACGTTCAGTATGTTTAAGTTAGAGGTCTTCACATCTTTTGAATGTCCACTGCTCGTAAGCAGGATCATTGAAGTGAAGATGGGATACGTCAAGATTGGCATAGAAAAAACTACGTAAAAATCATCCAACAGGTCTTCACTTGTTCGAGTAAGGTTTCTTGAGAGACAGCAAGCAAAATAACAACAGAATGAATGACCTCAGGCAATGTGGAGCTGTGATGTGTTATGGAGTTCCGCAACAAAACGTGATTAGCTGACGGATTTGGAGTATAATAAAACAAAGGAGAAACAAGAGAAAAAAGTGTTGCACAAGAGCTTTTCACAAATTATCAAGATAAACTTTTCCCATAATCACAAGCTGCTAAACCTTTCCTTCTCTTAATCATCAAGATATGGAGATATTTGCTCGAGCAAAAAACCAACTTGAGATCAGTTTTTAAATTGCAAACAAATCTACTGATTACCATATGTTCAAAAAATGCCTAGTTTAAAAAACTTTTTTTAACTTATAATCAACTAAGCCTCCTGTGTATAGTGTATACCTATTTGTGTATCATATACTATACATGTGATACCCAATCATGTGAGGCATTGAAGATGTGCAACCGCTCTGTATGTCGACATCAATAGATGAATGAATGAATAAGCCAGCTTTTACGTAAAACTGACGTGACGTTCCTCACGTAAAAGTGACTTTGAACGCCTCATATGACATGTCTTATCACGTAAATGCATAAAGGAAGTGAAAAAAGTGTTGTGGTGTGTACAGAGATAGAATTTTGTATATAGTATAATATAAATAATATAATGAGAAGATATGATCTCGAACTGAAACATTCTGACGTAACACTAGACAATAACAACTCAAATGATAAATAAGAGATCATGAAGAAGTTAAGTATTCTTACAGCATTTAGAAACAATGCAATGCTTTCAACATGAAGCGGATGAACCCACCATTCAGTTTAATGTTGTTTCGGGATTAAATTTTCAAAATGATGTCTTTTTATATGCTAACAGGCACACGACGCCAATTTGAAAACAATCAAACAGCGATCACGTTGCATTTATGTAGTTAAACAAAACTGAAGTTTCGCTCCCAGTTATGCTCTCATCAAAATCATACGGCTAATTAAGCCTACAGAACGGAACTCTTTGTGAAGTCGTTAAGACATCTTGTTGATCCGACTAAAGTTGAAGAGATTAGCAGTCATACATTTTGGGATTGGTTTGGATTATTTGCAAATACAGAAAGATCAAATTAGTAAAAATTAAAGAAGGTCAAGCGGAAATTTATGTCATTCATGATATTCATGGAGGCAAACACTCGGATGATACAGCTTCAATACGAAGCATTCTTGATGATGGCAGCAGGTGACAGATAGAAAAGAAGAAGTTGGGGGTGAAGAGAGGAGGGGGAAGAGGACAGGAACTATGGGAATGTTAAGAAGCAACACAAAGTTTGAAGGTTTCGGGGAAAAAATAAGATGATGAGGGAATACTGACTCAATAAGGAAGCAGGAAAGTCTAACCAAAGTACAGCAGGATAGGCATCAACATAATATAAGATCAATTTGTATGACGACAATTTTTTTTCTTTATTTTGCAAATAATTTGAATGAAGTGTCAGATTCACGAGAAAATCATCTCCTTAGGGATAAAATACAGAAAAAACAGAATATAAACAAATGGAATAGCTTAGAACGACAACTTCGTCCATGTCATCCTCTACTCAGTCTCTCTTTTTATTTTTCTATCCTATCTCGGAGTTTTCGCTCCAAGAGCCAGTGCCAATGTGGTAGCCAACCGAAAAAAAAGTTTTTTCTAGTTCTAAAACATTTTTTTTCCTTTTTTTTCTTCTTCTCCTTCTTCTTCTTCATTTTTCAAAGATGAAGCTGAGAAAAGAAAGGAAATGTTTTGTTTCCTAAACATTCACATCAACTATTTTTCTTCAAAAATGCTTCAGATGCAAAAGTTGAAGTTCGTTCGACGTTGAAACAATTGCCTCTATATCTCTAGTGAAAACTAAATTTGGTTGAAATGGAAAGAAAATATTATTATCCTTTCTCGTTCAAACTTTAAAGGTAAATGAGAAGGCACTTTAACTTTTAAAGCCTTGCCCTTTAACTCCTATTTTCTGCCCATTTTTTGGTTTGGAATAAGAATTAAAAACTTCAAATTGTCTTTCGAATTGTTATTTTCAAACAAAATTGAAGAAATCCTTTTCACTCATGAATCAGAGGTCACACAACGCTTTCCGTTCTTCCTCTTCTCTTCCAGAGTACAAATAGATGAAGGTGGTACTTTCCATCTTTGATTTTCTGACTTCATCAGCTTACTATTTCTGTATAGTTAGCATATTCTATATAAAGCAAATGAATAAGAGGAGCAGCTGGGGCGCATGAGCAATTTTTATCATTCAGAGAAATTTCTGAAAACAAGGGAACATAAGCAGTTGGCTTGAGGCTATTTCCGAAGCGTGCAGTCAGTCTATCAGTTTTGAGATGACAACTTATTTTCATTTACTCACGTGGGAAAATAAGAAGTTTTGTGAAATAAATAGATGATTTGAAGCCAAAACATTTTTGATTGTTGGAACTTAATTCAAGTTTTAGAAATCAAAGTCCTAAAGAGGTTGATGAGTTCAAAAGCTTTCTCTGAAACTTTTAGACGCAAGAAGACGATTCGAAAAAATATGTGTAGACGAACTAAAACTTTAAAATGGGATGAAGCGGAGGAGAAGAAAGCAACCGTTCAGAATGTCAATTTTGTGCAAAATAAGTTTCCCGAGCGTCCGAAGTTCACGCACGTGAACAGCGGGCTCTCTGAACTATTAATATATATGTAATTTCTGCGAAACAGAAAAAAAAACGGTGTTGTAAAAGCATGTAGATAGAAGAGGAGAGATAAAAGCTAATGAGAGGGAGAGAGAGCGAGACGAAGAAATTTGTAAGAAAACCGAACTGCAAGGCAAGAAGTGGGGACGGCGTAAAAGGTGTCGAACGTGCAAAACAAAGTAATGTTGGTTGAAAGAAACATATGATGACGAAATTATATGAATAGAGTTTATCACTTTTGTCCGACATTCAGCTTCAGTTCAGAATAATTTCCTGATATTGAAAAAGTTCGTCAGAGTCCTTTACGCTCGTAATTGAATGAATTTTAGAAATAATTTTTCTACTGCTGACGGAAGAAGGAACTGAGAAAGGCAATAAAATGAACATTTTTCAGCTTGGAATATCCCAGCAGAATCTTCACATTCCTAGAAAGCACTTTCCCTACCTTCTGAGGAATACTTGAAAATATGCTCGAAACTTATAAAGAACAATAGGGCTCTCTCCAAGTTCAATCTTTGTGTTTTTTTATTCAGAAGATTTGAAATATCTTTAAGATACGAACTTCCTTAGGAAGGAACCTTTCTTATTCTTAACATATGAAGAGGGTCTTTACGAACCTCATCTCTTAATCCTCCATTTCTTTCTGTAACTTAAGTTCATAAGAGATTCTTCGGATTTTTTTATTTCCAGTCATGTGTTCAGTTGCAAAATGAACTGGTGACAAGTGCTAAATATGGAAATCGGGCAGAAATAAAGAGATTTAAGCTTAGCACTAGCTTATATGAATTTTGGTTTGTGATTCTTCAACTTATCAATTCAAAGACTAACATTCAATTAAAATCGAATTGTCGTTCTATAAAGAAGATATGCTTGAAGAAGCGGAAATCGAAACTGATTTTTGAAATAAGAAAAAGTAAAAAGTTGAAGACTGTTCTATCTAATGTGTTCTCTACCTACGTATTTGCACAGAAAAAGCTTGTAATGTTATCCCCAGATTCCAAATTAGAACACTTCAATGAAAACAACTTTGAAACAAGAGGGAATTCCAATAAAAAAAATACAATAGTAATAGATAGATGATTCGTTAATAGCAAATGAAACAAACAAAATCATGAAGTTCTGTCTTTCTCTTTCAGCTTCCGTTCTCGCTCCATCCCTCTTCACACTATTGAGGCAAATATGGGGTATTCATCGTTTTCCATTATATTCATGTTGAATCTTACCTCTCTTACCCAATTGTCGATGATTTTATTTCAAAAATCTCTCTGTCCCTCTCTTATTATTCTCGCTCTCTCTTCCTCTCATACCCTGCTCTAGCAGGTTTTTTTTTAAATTTTCTATTAAATCGAAAAAAATAAGTTCAAGATGGAGAATGGCGATCTTTTCGTAAACAATCAGAACAAAAACAAATTTATGTGAAATAAAATAAAAAAATTAAAAAATATCCCAATTTTCCCTTCAAAAGATAAAGGAGTAAGAAGTTGTTTGAGTCTCAAAAAAATAGGCTTGACAGATAGATCTACGAGTTCAGACAGACTTGCGAATTCTTGGAAAATGTTCGAAATTAAATATTTTATGGAAACTCATGCTGCTGAAAGACATTTTTTCAGCGGATGCTTCGGAACAAAAAATGTTGGTCAATACTTGGGATAATTGGAAAAGGAAAAGCCAAGCAAGTAAGTTGAGCTTAGAAAATCTTAGAAATTGATCTTTATCACATAGAGGGCCTTGAAGATGTTCGGCAGCTTAGATGGCTCTCACTTCGTCCTATGTCTAGTTTCAAATCTTTTTTTCATTTTTTTTTGTCTTGTCACAACTTTCTTCTCAATTTTTTAACTATCACTTGCCCTATTAGGTAGAAGAATTTTTGAATTCCATTATGCAGTCATATTCAGAAGCTTCTCAGTTTCGAAGAAACCCGAACTTGTCGTTCTCACTCCTCAAATCCATTACATGTCCGAAAAGGAAATTAACTATTATTGGAAATAAATAAATCTCTTTTTTTCTGTTAAATTAATCAATTAAATCTTAAACTATTTGTCTAATGACGCATTAGAGTTTCAAGAGTTCAATTTTGGTGTTGAATGAAATCTGTGCTCTTTACTCCTTGCTTCGGTTGCCTTTTCAAAGCTTCATTGAAGAGCTTGAATACTTTGTTCTAACTAAACTTTAATAAACATTCAACAAGTTTTCCTCCGTAATAGATGGTTGTGAGCTATTGGGTATAACTATCTTATCGGCTTTTGGTTTTGATTTTCAAAGCGAAAGAGCAATAATGAAATATGAGTGTTCAGGTTGGTTTTCAGTGTTTCTCGTTCACATAGAAATAAGTTGTTAAAGGAGAACATAAGCATAATAATATAAAAGTTGAAAAACATTATTTTCTTCTTAGCAAACGAAAACTCTTTTTCAGAACTTAATCGAATGCTAACAATAGCAGTAACTTCTTGAGCTCCCCTAATAAAATCATAAAAATTATATTTTCTACTTCTGAGTCCAGGCTTGCGGGGAGATTAATTAACTGCACATGTATGGAACATAAGATTCTCGGATAATCACTTTGAAAACAATTTTTGCTTGTAAATCAAACAAGTTTTGAGAAATTCATTTCTATATATGGAGGATTCAATTGTGAACTTCGCTAGAGCAGACGTTCAAGCAGGAATGATCAACGAGCGGCAAGCACGCAAGCAAAAAAAAAATTCCATTTCCAAATATAAAGTTTGAAATAAATAAGAGACTAATTGTGGTTTAAGAGCTTTTAAAATAAATAGTCTTAATTATTATTTGATTGAAAAATGGAGTAAGAGAAGTGGAAAGAGGAAGAAAAGAAAGAAATGAGAGGAATAGGAGAAAAACGAAAGCAACCGTTCGCTGTCAATGTGGGGAAAAATGAAAATAAGAAGAAAAAACTAATTCACGTGGATTTTCACGTAGACAATCAGGGAAAAAGGGAAGGAAAAGTTATGAGTAAGATAATCAATGAGAGATGAAATGAAGCCATGTGGATGTACTTGGTAATTAAGAGAAAATGAATTGGTGGATATTAGAATCGCATGTAACTTCAGAAGCTAATTTAATATTTGCTTGAACGCAGAAAACATACGAAGAAAATGAAATGAATGAATAAGCGAAAAAAAGGAAAAAGAATAGAATAAGAAAAAGGAAAAGGAAAAAGAAAAGAGGAAGGACATCTTGATAATATTTTGAATAAAAAAAAGTAAATAGTATGTATATGTGGAAGTATTATCTTTTGCACAGAAATAAATGAGAATATGAGCAAAGAAGTAAGGAAGCCGAAATGAAGCTTCATTCGAAGATCATCGAGAATATCATCATTGAACTCACTGCTTGTATCTTTCCTTCCTCTTCCACCAAATATACAATGCATGACAAACTCAAATTTCTTTTAATCATCCGTAAATATCTTTGAAAAGTTATATTTTCTTTATTTCTTCCGCTTTTTCCCAGCTTATAAAAGCAAATAAACACTTTACCGTTTCAAAGAAACAAACAAAAGTTGAGAATGAAGGATATAAGGAAGTGATGAATCCACAGAAAATAGGAATATGATCTATAGATGGAAATAAGATCTGCACGTCTTAATCCAGTCGTTTTTCCGCCTTCCTTTCCTTTTTTTGCTAGTCTCCAAGAATACAATATATTTGAAACAGCATGAGCAAATGGGAGAAAATAGAAAGAAAGTTTATCTTTTTATTATTTTTTTCGATGAATTTTCAAGTTGGGTTTGGTCTTTTTCCAAAAATCTGTTGTTACATCAGATGTTCCTATATAGGAATTGATAAACATTGAACGAACAGCAATTTCTTGAAAAGTTATCACATGCCATATCATATAATGACCGTTGCCGACGAAAATAATAATAATTTTTGAATATTAAAAGTGATTTGTTATTGCTGCAAATGTAATTTCTGACTTCATTTCTCTCCAGTCATATGAGTACATGAGAAGTACGAGAACTGTTTTAAAGAAACGTCTTGAATTTTTACAAGTTATAAGCTTTGAATGGATATTGAGATAGATGACAAGGCTTCTATACGACACGTTCAATTGCTTTTTTTTATCAATGAACGGCTTCACAACATATAAAATAATTGTTTATAAATAGAAAAGATAAGGAATGAATTGAGTACGAAAAACTCATATGTGCTATATCGTCTTCATCAACTTGTCTATCTTGAAAATCTCAATCAAACAGTAATCGCTTATGCTAGATGCACTCGCAAACTTCTCTCTTTCAACCTTATTCTTGAGAACTTTTGTATTTTCTTCTCTCCATACTTTTGCAGTAGTTCAATTTGTCATTGAAATAGGAGAGAACAATATGCTTCAAAGAAAACATGAACGACAACTTTGAAATTTATTTGTTTTTTGACTGTAAAAACAAAGCTCAAAATATATTTGACTTGTAATAAAAAAAGAAGTTTTTATAAACGCTTGAAATCTGAAATGGAAATGTGCTTGACATGGCCGGATCCGTTCGTACTTACAGCCAAACAGCTCTCACCTCTTCCATCCTCTATTGGGCTCTTAATGCTTCCTCATTGCCTATCTTCCTCTTTCTTATTTTCTCTATATCTCTCTCAATTACATCCGAAATCTCGGTCCTCGATGGCAGTCAAGCTTTAGGAGCTTTTATGAGGCAACTCTCGCCTACTTAGAATCAGAGTTCGTCTAAAGCTTTAACTCGAAGACCACAAGTCGTGGAAAGTTGAATGATTGAAGAGATAATTTCAGTTTAAGAAGGAAGAAAAAAAAAGCGGAAATTCAGTAATCTGCACAAGTACAGAATGTTCTTCTAAGCCACTTCGTCCCTCTTGCTCATATTCAAGATTATAATGAGAGATACGTTCAGTCTTTTTCTGAGAAAAGGGATCCTTTAAGTGAAACAAAAATTTTACAAAAAACTTTTAGAACATATAAATGGACAAACAAATACGTTCATGATAGCAACTGCTCTGAGTATACGATAAAATGAGAGTCTTGATAGCTATTCAAATGAAAATCTTGTCCGAAGTTATCGTTTCAGGTTATGAAGGTAGAGAATGTGAAGGAAAACCATTTTAACACATGTTAAAGGAAGAAAAAAATAAAAAGTGATGAGCAGCAGTCTTCTCTATCATATGCTCAACACCCCAAAGTATTGTTAAACAAAAGTTGCAAAGTGTAAAAAAAGTTTTTTGGATGAGACTGTGAATGATCCAATTTACTTTTTTTTTATTCAGAAAATTTTTTTTTTATGAAAAAAATGATTATAAAGAAGACGAGTTCGAGGTTTCGGAAGAATTTTCGAACTAATCAGATCAAAGCTCCCCATTGATAGTTTGCATGTGCCTGCCAGCTCCGCGTTAAAGTTGGATATCTTCTCAGCTCAAGTATATATAGTTAAACTTCTCAAATAGCAATGATAGAATCAAACTTCAAGAGAATGATTTCAAAGAAAGAAAATGAAGTATTTATGTTGATGAGATGAAATGACACGTGCCAATCCATGTGTATCACGTGAAAGTATTTTTTTTCAAGTCTCGTGTTCTCACCAAAAGCTTTTTGAAACACTCTCACAGCTACTTGGTTTGAATATTCAAATCTTACCCATTTTCGGAAGTTGGAATGTCATTCTTTCTTGAAATTCGTAGTAATTTTTGAACGTCGAAATTTTTTCCTAAATGATTATAATTATAGGAATAAATAATAACGTGGGATAACTGGAAAATGATGATATTCCTGCATCATCTTGATCAAAGTAGATTTTCGAGATGTATGGTTATTGGTATCCTGCATGATCAAAACGTTATCACAATTCTGGAATATTCCCATATTGATAACTAAGAGCCATTTAAAATGTGAGCATCTAGTCAATCCATGAGGTTTCGTTCGCCCTTTTAGAAGGAAATAGATTGTCTTGTATATGTAAAAAGCAATTCATATGTCTCAAAAAAGTGAAAAACAAACAGGTTCATGTTAACAAGTAACTTCTTCTGAATATAAATGGCTATGAGTATGATGACGACATTATGAAGGAAGGTATGTATAAAGATCCCAGATGATAAAGAAACAAATTGCAAATGATCTGAAGCAAGCAAATTGTATCAAAGATTTCTAAAATGAAGCGATCATCTGCAGTCCTCCCACTTTTTTTCTACAAAATGTGTTTTTTTAAATGTATAAACGAAATAAATAGCTAGTTAAGGCTATATTTTTTGTGAGAAAAAAAGAAAAGTTTGTCAAGCAATAGCGATTAGCCATGGAGAGACTCAAAATTTGAAAATTGCAAATGAATAGTTATTATGGTAACTATATATAAAACGTATAATTATCTATTTATCTTTTTTTTTTCATTTTATGTTTAGTTGAAATAAATTTTTGAAACAAATAGGTTCTCATATGCTGTTCCATAAAATGTCATTTTTAATTTTGTTCATTCATTAATTATTCTTCAGATGAGAGTTTATTTATATTTTCTATATGCATTCTCTCCTATAGCTCTCATTTGTTTTTTTTTATCATTTTATTGCATCTGTTTCAATTCTCCTACTGGAATGTCAAGAGAGTATAAAACATTTTCTGTTATTCATTGTGCATTGTAAGTTGAGTAGTTAGCATTTTCTAAGTTCCATCCTATCTCTTAATGTTTTACAGAGCATCTTTGACGTCATTCATTCTTTGTGCTGGATCAACTCCTGTTATCATAACACCTTGTTCGGGTGGATACACAGAAGGTTTCATGAACTCTTTGGGATTTACTACTTTGTCGCAATTGTGTATTCCTATCTGCCTCATCAATTGTTCGAGCATTTTTTACATCGTAAAATATTTTTTACTTATTTTCAAGATATGACAGGAGCTAATGTTATGTTATTTTATATCAGATATAACGCTTTGAAAACGGGAGGAAACCTATTTCGATTCAGGCTCTTCAGAATCATATCCTTCATATTATGGATTATATTCTACTCCGTTCTTCTGACATCTTTATCTCTCAATGCACAAATTGAAAATCAAAAACAATCTAAACAAGATTGTCTAGCAGTATCAATTATGTTTTGTATTTACGAAATTGTTATAATTTCCATTTTCAGAAATTTGAAGGTGATATCACAGAGGTTATACAGAAGAAGACAATCATTGTTCTATTCACTGGCACGGGCTTATCGTGCTCATTACTGTTATACGGAACATTGGGACAGATTGTTAATTATACTTCACATATAATCATATTTGCCCTTTTTACGAGGAGAGGACTATTAGAGATTCGAACTCATATGTCTATCTATACACTAAAACGTCATTCTTTCTTCATAAGAGTACTGTATACGGAAGTACTTTGATACCTGTTTCCTTAGTTTATTTAATTGTTCTTCAGACGATAGTGCATGCAGTTTCTTTCGCATTCCCTGCTATTTCATTTTTTCTAATTCCGTTCATGGATATACGAATTCCAGGTCTGCTGCTACTTCGACCTCCCATTAGAACATTTATTTCAGAAACTCAGAATGCCTGTGTCACACTCATAGCCATGTCTGGAATCATTGGACCTGTTTACGTATTTTATAGTATTAACTCCTATAGAAATGCAATTTTGATCTTTTTCCGTCTGACTAGAAAAGAAGACACTTCTGCCAATCCGAGCAATTAGGAAACGGAAGATTTGAACGAGCGGTTAGAATTATATGATCGTCAATTTTGAGATTCAACATGTATGATCTATGTTTATTCTAGTGTCTCACCTCAGATACTATACTTCTCGGTATTTCATTTTCATCCCGTCAGACATAACTGAGCGGTTTGTTCGTTTCATTCTCGGGACTATGCTTGTATTCGAGCGGTCGTACTGTTCATTTTTTCTCAAATTTGCTAAATTGAGCGGTCACTTGAATTTTTTCCAAAACATAGCTCCTTCGTGTCATCTCAATTCTTTGGCATGATAAATGTTCAATTTATACGAACAAAATTGAAAGGATAAATTATTTGAAATAGATGAATGAATATCACAATTTTCCTAAAAGATTTGTTTGAATGTCCAACCCTTGTACCCTAAATGTAAAGTGTTCAAATCATAACTTGAGGAACTCAATGATTTTCTAAACAACTGATACGACTGAATATCAAAGACTTTCCCAGCAGCTACACATTGTAAATGGAAAAATGGTAAAAGCTGATCAGCAAGGCTTTCCGATATAGCCGCCATTCCGATGTTTCTTCTCTTATCCAACATCAGTATGTACTGCTGTAAACTAAAAATTAGATTTTTGCAGAAGTAATGACTCACGTCCTCTTGTATCAAGTCAGTTTTAGGAGAACAGTGCAAATACTTTTCAATTTTCAGAATAGAACAACCCAAATGACGTGTTCCACACGTCGAATAGAATAAAGGTTCCAGACTATTGCAATCCTTCACAGTTGGTACAGTCTGTTTAGCAAGGTATGATCTTCAATAATACATTATCTAGAGTTTAGTGGAATGTAACCTAACTGTATTAGGATAGCTGCTCTGTTTTTATTGAGAGACTTTAAAGAGAGACTCCTAACAGCTCGATAATTCGAGTACAAATGAACAAATGTAAAAAACTTAAAAAGAAATTCAGATCTTTCCCATTTTGTTCACCCACCAGATATAAAGTCCAAACCAAGCTCTGCTTCCCGCTCACCAAAGGTAGAAGTATTAACGATGCTATAAGAGCAGCAACATTAACTAGAGTTTCTTGGCTTCCATCTTTTGCAGCCACATCTGCCAGGTTATTTCGAACCGCCTGTACTGTATACATTTCATTGTCTGTTATTCAAATTACTTGATGCTGAACGATTGAAGTTCTGGTAGCTCCTCCTGCTACACCAACTACACATCGAAACAAACTCGATGTGCAGGCGAATGGGAAGAAAAGTGGTGGAAATGCAGGGCTGAGTAAATCTATGAAGAATGCTACATCGTTGAGAATGTCAGCTACTAGCCGCCATTTCTTCGGATTACAATCCAAATCCGTACCTGGAAGATGTTTAAGATATGCACAGAGAAATAACAAACCTTTGAAAAAAGTGAATGTTATTCTTCCCACCATTCCCAAACCGTCTTTCACTAGCCAAGTCAAAGCGGTTGCCAAGACAGAAGCTTTCTAAAAAAGTATTATCGAATGAGTCAAAAATTCATCTTCCACCTCGTTCCCAACGCCGGCTCCTCTTAAAACAGCCTCAGTTGCCAAAGCTCCTGTCATTGAGCTAGCAAAAGCTTGAACTGTGTCCCATTTTTGATACGCTAAATAATCCGAGCTAACACTTTGAGGATATCCTGAACTTTTTGTCTGATACATGATATATCTGCTATTTTTTCCGCACCTTGAGGTAAGAAAACGCAGACAAGAAATTTATAGAATGAGCTTAACGAAACTTTTTTTGAGGAATAGGGTGATATCTTCTGGACTTCAAAGGTTCTATCACTCTTACTGATTTCAATCTTACGTTCCGCAGTTCCATCAAATGATTCTAGATAATGTATCATACTGAAAACAATGTTTATGAAACGCGTATGAGGAGAAAACATCAGAATCGCACCAGCGAAGCAAAGAACAAACACAAGAATTTGAGATCATTTATTTCATAGAACAATACAATAATAACAATAGAAGTAATAAATTAACAAGAGTTTTACTTTAGAGTGACAGAGAGTATTTTAATTTCTGTCTTAGGTCTTCCACTCTTTTCATATGTTTGAACTTGATTGATTTTCTGAACAACACTCATACCTTCCACAACCTGAAGGTTAAAATTGTCTTTTCTACACTTTTTTTTTATTTTCTCACCTCTCCGAACAATGTATTTTTTCCATCTAACCATTCCGCTGGGCAAACCGTGATGAAAAACTGAGATCCATTAGAGTTAGGACCTGCGTTAGCCATGGAAACCATGAAAGGTTTGTCATGCTTAAGGCGAGGATGGAACTCATCTTCGAAATCCGCACCCCAAATAGAGTTTCCTCCGGTACCTTTTCCAGTGGGATCTCCTGTCTATAAAACATTCATGACTTCGAGTTCAGAGCATGAAGGGTAAAGTTACCTGGATCATGAAAGATTTAATGACTCTATGGAATGTAAGACCATTGTAATAACCCCTCCTGGACAGAGTACAGAAGTTTTCAACAGTTCTTGAGCATTCTCTTCCGTATAGCTTCATCACAATATCACCCATCGAAGTGTGAAGTATTGCTTTTTCGCACAATAAGTTCGACTCCCGTTCTTTCTATACAAAAATTAGTTATTCAACATAAAACATGGAAATTTTCACCTCGACAGCCGTGATTTGATCTTCCTTCTTTGGTTTCTCGTTGAACACGTCTCTGCTCATTCCGGAATCATCGTCGTTGTCTTCGGTATGATAAGGTTCACAATTAGTAAAGATATAAAATCTATTCTTTTTGTATGCGCAGCAAACCTCAACAGAATATATTAAAACGGATGGCAAACTATGAGATTTGTTACCATAATTGGATCAGGTTCCGTGGTTTTGTTCAAAGTTGGATTATCAGCTGCTTCAGTTTCGATTGTTGCAGCGGATCCCTGGAGGCGAGCACGAACATCAGGAACAGCCCTTGAATTTTATTGTAAAAATTAAAAAGGAAACTCCCAAATTAAGGACCTGCAAAGTGAGACACTCAGAAATCGGACAGTTTCTTCTTTACCTATTTCCCTGACTACTTTTTCCGTCACGATGTTATAGACCTGAAAATTTGATTAATTGTTTGTTGAAATAATTTCTGCCAATACTTTTACTCCCACAGGTGAGGGGTATAGAATAAAGTTACCAGAGTGATCCCAGCATATTTGAGAAAACCGGAAGGCGTTCTCAACATCTTTATCCATGTCTTTTTCTAAAGCAATTCTACGATTCCACTCCATATTCTGTAGCCCAAAGTATCTAGAAAATAAATTTACTGAGTGTTAAATGCTTTGACATACTTGTTATCTTTAGCATCTGAAACAAGCTTGGCGATTGTTTCATCAATAACGTGAATAATTTTTCCAGTATGAACACTGAATATACGAAGCTTCCTATCTTGCGAGAAGATGGCAAACGAATTGCCCTTTGGGTTCATAGATATGCATACTGGAACTGTTTTTACCTGAGAGAAATTACTATGATGAGGAACAAACTAATCTATACTCACTTTGACATACTCGTACAAATCCGTGTCTGTTTTGTACTTCCAACCAATATTATCAGGGAACGCACATTCTTTTTTCACTCCTGACCAGTATTCAATCATACCTCTTTCATCCACAGAAACGACAATATCATATTGGCTGTTATACTAAAGTAATAACGGAATTTTCTCATAATTGAACAAGTTGAATTACAGCCATTATTCGCACTGGAGCGGAATGAAGTTTTGAAACTTCGGCCAGGGGTTCAGAAGTTCCCTTGCCGTCAACAACGACAACATTACCGTTTTCCGAATTACTAATAGCCAAGTAAGCAACAATGTCGGCTCCTGAAATTATGCATATTACAGTGAATACACAGCTTTTCTTCACCTTGATGAACCCAACAAAGTGTTTTAGGTATGAAGTCTAGTTTCAGTATGTTGATCATGTCGAAGTTTTCAACATCAAAGACTTTAACAGACTTGTCCTGCATACATGCTGTAGCCAACAGTGTCCCATCGAAGTTCACAGCAATATCAGAGAAAGCACCTGAATTAACCGAAACTATATATACATAAACATAATGGAACTTTATGAGCTACGAATAGCATGAATGAAAGTTAAATTAGAAAACAAGAAACTATAAAGAGACACGTTCAAAAGATGTATGAACTAGAATTGCACTCACTTAAGTGGCATCGGAAATGTTTCACGAATTCGATCCCTTCTCCATATTTTTTCTTCCAGAATTTCAGATGTCCATCTATACTTGCGGTTATTATGAAGTCAGTACTTGAACAAGTTGGGTTATTATAAATTATTCTATCCGATTCCTTACTCAGTAGCAATAACATGCGATAATGTTTCAATATGCATGAAGGATTTCTCATATTGAGAAGCAGATGGTACAGATCGAAGATACGTCGACTCGAATGGGAGTATACGCTCTGAACAAATCATTCTCAGAAACCTAATTATGTTTTATACTAACCTTTTTTCTTTTTTAACGGTTCTAAAGTCGTGTCTACTTCTGCTTGAGGTCTTTTCCCGTCCCTAAGAGTTATAGCTTCGTTTTCTTTCTGAATTTCTTGAACTTGATCCATATTCTCATCTGACATCTCTAAACTATTAATCAGTTCACATCAAACTGTATGCATTAAGAATAGAACAGAGAAAAAATGAATAAATATTTGCTGCTTCTTGTGATAAATTCGTCATGACGAAAAAAAAGTTTGAAAGGTTCTCAAAAAATTCGTGGAGCCCTCGAATGCTTCCGGCTGATTGAAATGTGAAGAAAAATTTGAATATACTTACAAAAATTCGAAAAAAATTTAGAATTATTGGGTACTGTAACTTAGATTTTGTTCCTGGCGGAAAAATTGAATTTACGTATTTTGAATTTTATTCGAGAAGCCAAAGAGGTCCTGGCGCGATACTCCTTTCATTAATAGTGAATGCCAGTTCTCCTAGATGTTTCTCTCCATAATGGCTTGTTTAATGAAGGTTTAATAATGTTTCTCATGTCGTATTTGTTTTTTATAGTATAAATGCAAAATTATGAGTATTAAAAAGTTACAGGTATGTCTGCACCAGTAGCCGCAGCAAAGGCTGTGAAAAAATCTGCTTCAGGAGCAGAATCGGCCTTCAAAGATAAAGATAAAGCCGCAAGCGTTAGAAACAGGTAAGGCAAGTTTTTTGACTTCATTCTCACTCAAACTTTTCAGCAACATTGTTGCTGCTAAGGCTGTAGCTGATGCTGTTCGTACTTCGCTTGGACCTCGTGGTATGGATAAAATGATCCAGTCTGGAAATGGAGATGTTACTATTACTAACGACGGAGCCACAATCCTGAACCAAATGAGTGTTATCCATCCAACAGCTAAAATGGTCGGTTCCTTCTTTTTTTTTTTTTATCTATTTATGCTTTGTTCAGCTTGTTGAGTTGTCTAGAGCTCAAGATATTGAAGCTGGTGACGGAACGACCACTGTCGTTGTAATGGCTGGTGCTCTTCTCAATGCTGCTCAAAATCTTTTAGAGAAAGGTTAGTTTGCATATTGTTTACACTGAAGGAATAAGATAATTAGGAATCCACCCCACTACTATCTCTGACTCATTCCAAAGTGCAGCTTTGGAAGCTGAAAAGATCCTAACTGAAATGAGCTCTCCAGTTGATCTTGCCGACGATGAGTTATTGGTTAAAATGGCTACCACCTCTTTGAACTCTAAAGTGAGAAAATGATTACAAATCTCTTGTGATCGAAGAGTTTTAAGGTTGTTTCACAACACTCCTGGTTACTAGCTCCAATGGCTGTTAATGCTGTAAAGAAAATTGTGGATGTTAACAAGGATAGTTCTGTCGATCTCAAGATGATCAAGATTATTAAGAAGATGGGAGACACTGTTGAGGTAGCTCAACAGGCTTACTTCAATTCCAACTTGTTTGCAGGAATCTGAAATGATTGATGGTGCTCTGATCGACCAAAGAACAATGGGACGTGGAGGTCCAACCAGAGTTGAGAAAGCTAAGATAGGACTCATTCAATTCCAACTTAGTCCTCCCAAGACAGATGTCAGTTATCAACTTACTCTCAGCCTTAGTATTTTTGTTTAAGATGGAGAACCAAGTTATTATTTCCGATTACACCCAAATGGATCGTGCCTTGAAAGAGGAAAGAGCCTATCTTCTTGATTTGTGCAAGCAAATCAAGAAAGCCGGTTGCAATGTTCTTCTTATTCAAAAAAGTATTCTTAGGTAAGAGTTCGAGAATTGTATCGAGAAACTCTTTCGGTTCCAGAGATGCTGTGAATGAACTCTCTCTCCACTTCCTTGCCAAGATGAAAATTATGGTCGTGAAAGATATTGAACGTGAAGATATCGAGTTTTACTCTAAGGTTTTTCGGATGAATGAGCACATATTCTATTGCTCCTTCAGATTCTCGGCTGCCGTCCTGTTGCTTCAGTGGACCATTTCGTTCCTGAGGCTCTCGGAACTGCTGATCTCGTCGAAGAAATTCCAACTGGAGGAGATGGAAAAGTAATTAAGGTTACTGGTGTCCAAAACCCAGGGCAAGCCGTATCCATTCTGCTTCGTGGGTCAAACAAATTAGTCTTGGAAGAGGCCGACAGATCTCTCCATGACGCTCTCTGTGTTATTCGCTGCCTTGTTAAGCGCAAAGCTCTCCTTCCCGGTAATTATTCTATGATTTTTTTTAAAATTTACGCTTCGATTTCCAGGTGGAGGTGCTCCTGAAATGGAGATCGCTGTCAAGTTACGCCAGCTCGCTCAATCGCAAGCTGGAGCAACTCAGTATTGCTGGAGAGCATTTGCTGAAGCTCTGGAATTGGTGAGTTCAAGTCTATACGACCATGTCATGCAAATACTCTACACAGATCCCATATACTCTCGCCGAGAATGCTGGACTTTCTCCTATTCAGACCGTAACTGAACTTAGAACTCAGCATGCCAATGGAAACGTTGATTTCGGAGTCAACGTTAGAAAAGTAAGCCTGAAGTCATGAGATTAATAATTACCAAATCGTAGGGATATGTCACTGACATCCGTGAGGAAAACGTTCTTCAACCTTTATTGGTAACACTTTCTGCTATTAAGCAGGCTTCGGAAACTGTACGCTCCATCTTGAAGATTGATGACATCGTAAGCTTTCCTTTATGTATTGTCTACTTATTACAAATTTGTTTAGGTCATGGCTGTTCGCTAAACTGATCTGTTACCCGATAATTAAAAGTGATTCTCAATTAATTTGTAGTGTTTTCTATGCCGTGCTTTAGCCTTCGCGTTCGTTAAATCTCATCGTTGAGTTGGCTTTTTTGCTGTTTTCTAAAATTGTTGTCTGTTTTATGTTTGCAGCTTTTGATTTTTGCAAATACATTTTTAATGCTTACAAATATTGAAAATACATATCGACAACAAGATTTATGAGATCGGATGATTCCTCGTAGGAATAATGAGCCGTAGCTAAGTCAAAGAGATCATGTACGAGGGAAGATCACTAGTTGTAACTGCCGGCCAATCTACGATATGTGGAAACATCGTGCTTGATGACACAGTTAATAGGACTGAAGAGAAATGGTTTCTCAATACTTAACTTTACAAAATTTACCTGAAGAAGCAGTTGCGGCTGCCGGCTGGGGAACGAAGTTGTCTTGACTTTTTCAATAATGGATAATCTTCTTCGAATCCTCGTAAATAGGCTCTTGAAAGAATTGATCATACAATAATGTAAACAAAATTTTACCCGCAAGTGACTGTGACAAGAAGACATAAAATGAAGAGCTTAATGAACATGGAAGCAAAGTTACTTTGCATTTCTGTTACCTGAAATTAAACCTATGATGAAACGTTGGAAAGAAATGAAAAAGAGCATGAAAAGTTGTTATGCGTTGGAAGCTTCTAATTGAAACACCGTATTTATAAAATTATTCATAATGAGGAGAAAATTAAAAAGGCGTCGATGATGGTGAGAATGAACGGAGAGTGAGGCAAAAATGGAGATGAATGTGTCTTAATTGGCAAATTATAGAGGAAAGACTAATGAAACTTTAAAAACAGTTCAAATGACCCTTTCGCAAAGTATTATTTCAATTGATGGTTGAGTTTATAGCTGAGAATGAGCGCTTGAATTCCAGCTATTCAATCTAATTATCGCTTTTGAGGCAAACTCTGAATTCTTTGTAAAGTTGAGGAGACCAAATGATTTGTGCTGATATTCTGAGAAAACTGTATTGGTTTTTCATGTTTTATAAAACATGGAAATGTGTTGAAAATACAAATTTAGTTCCACGTCGGAGTAATGTTTGAAGGTTTCAAAAACAGAAAGAAAGTTACAATGAAGAGAAAAAGTGTTCCAAACCGCGGTGAATCAAAAGGAGTGGATAAAAATAGAAAACGAAAGATTGGACGAAATGAATTTTCATTCAGAACCATTCATTCCTTACTTGGTTGATTATGAACAATACGAAACACGATCAGTGTTAGTAGTATTCTTCAGAAATTATGAAAACATACGAAATTGAAAGAGATCATACGGCCGTGTCATCATAGCGTAATGTTTCATGAAGCAGAAAATAATATTATCGAAAGAAAGAAGAAGAAGCCATCTTGAAACGGAGAACGATCAGAAGACACTCTCTACTAAGAATTTCTCTCTACTGCATTTCTTTAATTATACACACTTTCATTTATGAATATTTCCGATAACAGAGCACCTTCCAAAGTTAGAAGATGCCTGAAATCCTTATTTGAATGATTAATTTCGGAAAAAGAAAGAAAAAAAGCAACCACTAACATACGTCAATAGAGTAAAAATGAGAAACGGTTTAGTGAATACTATCACGTCACGTCAACTGCTTGAACGAAAAGCTACGATATGCTAATTAGAATAAGATAAGTAGAATAGTGAAAGTTTTTGTTTTTCTCTAAAGTTAAAGTAGTTGACTGCAACATCAGCTTTAACACCAAGCGACATCTCTTGGCTCTCACTCATCACACCTTAAGTTGAAGATGTCAGTTTTATCGCTTTCTCTCTTTTTTTCTCTCATTACCCAACACTTTCATGTTATCATGAGGTCGATCCTTTTTTTTGGATATTCAAGTGGACAGAGAATGACATATTAACGACTTATGGAAACGAGAGTAAATGAAAAATTTGCTTTTTCAGAGTGCGAACACACATGAGGCTCTCAAAAAAAATGTTATGAAGTCTTGTAAGCATGAAATAAAATTCGTATGAAGATATGCGGGGGGGGGGTAAGCAAAGAATTTTAAACGACCTGAGAGACAAATAAAAGTTATTCAGTCTCATTGAATAAAGCTCTGAATAAAATTATATAATGAAGAGGCAGAAATAGATTCCGTTTTTTCTGTTCAAAAAATTTTTAGGAGCTATCCAGTGTCTCTATGAGAAGAACTCAGCTTCGTGTCTGTCTCCTCCCCTTTCTGTTCCTTATAGAAGATGGAAATCAATGTGATCGTTGTTGCTTTGATAGTTTAAAAATTCTTAATTTGGTAGATGAGGTTGTAAAGATAAGCCTCTTCTAAGCCTTCCAAAAGGAAGATTCTACTGATTGCTATTAACTAAGGCTAATTATCTCAAACCTTCACCTTAAAGCAGTGACAATCTTTGGTTTCATTTTAAGATTAAATAGTACTTTGACAAATAATCTAATTCGCAAAAAAACTTTTCGGGTAGAAGCACATCAAGACTTATAATTGAGCCACTCGAAAGAAATAGGAACATCAGTTATCGTTTGCGATGATTGAAAACGAAAACGAAAACAAATAAAACAAAACTTTTTGAGACAACACTATTCGTTGACCTTTCAATTACAAAAGACAAGAAACGTCAATATTTTTCTAGCTAAATCAGATCATGCAGTTTAAAAAATAAAGTAATATTAGAGCTTGAACTGAACCAATCGAAGTTCATGGAAGGTGTGTTACGCTTGCATTCGGAGGACGGGATGCTCTGGACAGCAACTGGGCGGAACCTTAGCTCCACCTACATCTGTCCTCGTAGGCTGGCAAGTCTTCTTTTCTACTATCTATCTATCTATATTTCTCTTATTCTCTTTAGTTTATTTTGTATATCCGTTAAAAAGGGTGGGGCTGAGAGACAGATGGGAGAAGCTTGATGGCAAAATTGCCATTTTCGTGAATGCTTTATAAATCAGGCGCAATGATGATAGGTTGAAGCGTGACGAAGAGCGACTAAAAAGTGTCAAAGAAAAGACAATAACAAACAAACTCATTAAATTTTAGCTGGCCATGTATGTATGAATTGTCAGGAGATACTCCTTTTACTGACTACGATTCGAGTTTACTCAGTTCTCTCTCTAGCACAGAATTCATCTCAACATTCGGAAGACTTCGGAACAATTACAAGTCGTTAATTCTTCTAAAGGAAATGCTTGAATCGGGTGGGCGAGAAGTTGAAAGAGATGGATTTTGAGTTTGTTGACGAATCAGCATCTGCTTCAGAATTTTAAACATGTGACTGCTAATACTCAAACAATTTAAAAACCTTTCTTAAGCGTTTCTTCCAAGGACAACTTCGCCTAATTTTGAACTTGGAGAAAAAAGTGAATCCGAAGTTTGACATGATTGGTTTAGAAATGTGATGTCTCAGAATCTAATATGTCAGAAGAAGTTTGATTTCTGCGAAGCAGTACAATGCTACTTGAGGCTGAAAATTCATTGAGAAGGTTCTTTCCGGTACACATGGATAGACTCATGACTATGACCCAATATAGAACTAAAAGCATAAAAATCATCGAAATGTCTGCTAAAATAGTCAAGAGAAGTTATAGGAAATAATAAAAAGCTGCAAACGTGAAAAATATGTAAACTACAGCAACCATTATCAGAATGACTTTAATAATATTTATAATAAATAGTATTAAAAACAATTGGAGATTAAACGAAAGGCTGTACTCGGAACAAAAGTTTCTGTTAATGCCTGTTTATCCACTTTTGCGTTGAAATTTCCAGTGTCTAAATTGCAAAAAAAACAGAAGACATTCAAGTCAGAGCTGAAGATGACAACGATGATAAAGGGATGTAGCTGATGATGTTCGGATAAATAACTTATTTTGGTAAACAATAAGATCATTGTTCTCATAATTAACACGTTTTCAAAAAGGCTAAATGAATGAAAATGTTTCTGCTTCCGCCTATTAGCTTATTTTCTTTCTTTCTCTCATCTTCCTATTCTTTATTCTTGAATAAAATAATTGATTTAATTATCTTTCACATACAAACTTAAAAAAGCAAATGAGATAGAAAATGCTAATTCATACTCCGAATGCAACCGCTCGCCATTTTCGAGATAATCAAAATGAAATTAAGTCACGTCAGTTGTACGTGAAAGTCGTTCAAATGCTATAAACTTTTAAACTATTTAAATTGGATGATTCGATGCGTAAAGTGATTTTGATAAACTCATAACAACTGATAAAATGCTCGATGCTCATTCAGTTCGTAATGACGTAATAGACAACTTTATATAGAAGTTTAGGAGATGTCTTTAGGCTATCTTCAGCTAAACCATATCCATTTAAAGAACGAAAGAGGGAGGAAGTCAGCATACAAATATTCTAAGTGATGACGAATACGATGATGTATCTTATCCACCCACAATAAATCGGAAGCTTCACATAGACATAATTCCATTAATGGGATTGCATTATGGATCATGACGAAGCGACAACTCTAGTACCTACTACGAAATTATTACAACTTCGCATCTGCTATTCTCTCTTTATCCTCAAAACTATAATAAAGAATTTAATTAAAGATGGAAAGTATCTTTTTGCATGCTGCTACTATTAAGAAACTTTGAGAAAAGTTTGTATCATAAGTTTTCTTTTTTCCGCTGTGACAATTAATTTCCATGCCAACCACGTCATGACAAAAATCAGAATGGGCTAATCTCTACAACAGATCATCAGCAGTCGATCGGAAAATTGTTCGTCCAAAGCGAAACTAATAAAACTTGCTCAAGTATCGATGAGTCTACTTAAAAAAATAATAGGAACTCTCATGAATTATGATGTTTACCCCAGAGTCAAGACTAGAATCATCTTCTAATTGTCGACCGTTTATTTTTTTTATTTTGGCCTTGCATTGAGATTTCCACCAATAACATTTACAAGTAAAATATTTAAGCGTTCCGTTTCTTGTGAATCATAAAGTTGAAAACAA